GAGTAATGAATGTAGTGGTAGTGTTTGTGGAGCAAACGTCACGGATAAGGTTGAGTGTTGGCGAACTAACAAAAAAGCATAAATACCAGGTTTTGCTACGAGTCTTACATAAACACAAGGGAAACAGTCATAAAGTTGAATGTTTTGACTCGATTGGGAAAACTGTAGCGAGGCGAACGTTGAGCTTGCAATGATAGAGACATGTGAATAACTGTTCAAGGTGTTAAAAAAAGTCTTATCATTGTTTTTACATCAATGCACAGGCACGGAGTTTGGGAGTAGAGTTGCTTCTCGTTTCTCTCCTGTGCTTCGAGGGTTTTCATCTGGGTTCTCCGGTTTTTCCTCCCTCCACAAAAATCGACTTCTAAACTTTAACTCGATCTATCGGAAGCCTTATTATGGGTTGCAAAACCTGTTAGGCTTTACACCGTCCACCCAAGAGAGTAAATGCATTAAAAAGCAACCATCTTCTAAAGCATGTCGAGGGCTGTCACATCGGATACGATACAATTTGCCTTTCAAAATGGCTGCCAGTACACATTAGCAATAACTGCAAACCTTCTACAGGTCAATATATATATTAGGGAATTCAGCTTAAAAATCAAACACAACATATAAACATTATTTTAATGCTTTTTATTTCATTTAGTTCATTTTCTTCGTCTCTTGTCTAAATCAATAATTATCTAATCAGCATATTCAGATCCAGTGGGTTCGTTGACGGTACGATCACATACATTAAGCCTAGTAAGAAACAAAAAATCGTAAATAAGTATTGAAAATATCAATGAAACAATATAATACTATCTCACAGGGCTGTCAACCCCCAAGATATTCAAATCTGGAGAATTGATAGGGAAGGGACATGAAAAAACGTCATTCACTTTGTAACATTTGATGTGATTGGTTTATTTCTGATCAATCAGATTATTGCTTATATTACAATGGCCTGCATGCAAGAACAGTTTATCAGGAATGTTTTGATTTTGTTAGCGATGTAAAATAACACTGTGAAAGTCGAGTCTCACAAGAAATGGTGAGCTTCGGGGATTATCCGGGAGATTTGAGACTCTAATCTGGAGACCGGGAGATACGGTCCAAAATCTGGAGACTCCCGGTTTATCCGGGAGAGTTGACAGCCTTGATCTCATTTAAAAGTGGTACAAAATTCATCGCGATTATTTAGGAATGAAAGTGAATGAGAGCGCTGTTTCCTTATTGCAGGCTCACGAAAAAATGGAATGATACCGCTGTTTTCTTAGGGCAGGCTCACATAAAATTGAATGATACCGCTGTTTTCTTAGTGCAGGCTCACATAAAATTGAATGATACCGCTGTTTTCTTAGTGGAGGCTCACATAAAATTGAATGATACCGCTGTTTTCTTAGTGCAGGCTCACATAGAATTGAATGATACCGCTGTTTTCTTAGTGCAGGCTCACATAAAATTGAATGATACCGCTGTTTTCTTAGGGCAGGCTCACATAAAATTGAATGATACCGCTGTTTTCTTAGGGCAGGCTCACATAAAATTGAATGATATCGCTGTTTTCTTAGGGCAGGCTCACATGAAAATGAATGATACCGCTGGTTCCATAGTGCACAATAATAATAATAATAACTTTATTATCTATATAAAGCATCGTATACAATATTCTATGTTAAATAGATAATTCGCAAAACAAAATGATGTGAAAATTGACTAGCTAAATGGATGAAGTAGAAATACTAGATGTTCAAAAAAGATAGGTTTTCAACTATTTTTTGAATGTTTTTTATATTCTGCTCACATCTGATGTTACATGAAAGGGAATGAAACCGCTGCGGTTGTCTGAGTGCAGACTCACATGGACAGCATTAACTCTGGAAAGGTTTATATTTTGAATTACCTTTTGGCTTAGCAAATTCCACAGAGAGCCTTGCACTTGGATCGGGCAAAAGATCCCATGCGAGAAGAGGCTTTCCTCATACAGTGTTCAGCCGTGATGACCTGCAAATAACGTGTGATTTATCAGGGACGGCGGAGACGGGGTGCTTTTGCGAGAATTACATTTTTAATTATACAGCTTCTCATTAATCCCATATAGGTTACTGTCCAATTATTTTCTTAATTGGACAGGTCTTGTTGATGTGGGATTAATTAGGTGCAATTTATGATTAATAGGTAATGGGATTTCATGCTCCCCAATCAAGAAATAATTAGACTCGAAAAATCCCTCTGACTGCCAAATTGGACTCGGCCTACGGCCTCATCCAATTTTGTCAGTCCTCGGAATTTTCCTCTCGTCCAATTATTTTTTTAATTGGACAGCATTAAGTCCTATTACATATACTAATTTTGTCTGATTTTGTTTGTGGGATAGAAAGGGGAGGGGAAGAATGCAGCACGGTATATTACTACATTCAATATTCTAAGAACACAGCTCTGATGGTTTTGTGAAGGGAGGAAAACCAATACCTGTTTCAATATTATCTTGTAAATAAACTTTGAAAAATTATGGTAATAAAGCTCAATCAATCAATCAAACCGGAGAACCAGGAGAAAAACCTTTGTGGCAAGGCAGAGAACAACACATCAGACAAACTCTATATGTATGCGGTGTTCACGGGAATTGAACCAGTGACACGACTCGTAGGACTCACAGTGGTTAAAAGACGAACGCGTTTTAGTACTACGCAGTCATAACCACTAGTATAGAACCCATACTAGGCACTGTTGCATAGAAAGGTGCTGCATGCTGTAGAGCACTTTGCTTGATTATCCATCGATAATATTTTAACATTTTAGCAATATTTTCATTTACCTTTCCACAGATTGAGGAGCTGTAGGCGTTGTGACATCCTACCATTAAATAGGGAACAAATGTTTTTAGCACAAAGACTTTGTATAGGACACGGGATAGATTTAGACAAGGAAGTTGGTGGTTCCACGATTTCTTGTTGAACGAATCGGATTTTTCTTAGTACTGGTTGGCCTCAGTTGACTGAGCAGGAAGTCTGACTTCAGGCATTAACGATGAGTGATTTAAAGTCTCAAACGTAAGTAATAATAACTAGGCATGTTTCTTTAGGTTGTTTAGTGAATACGGCCAATCGAGATGCAGGCAAGCCGTGGTATGTTCGACGGTATTCTGTCCGTTCCCACGGGATCTAACCCGAGACTTTTTGGATTAGTACGTTGGTCAGGCGCACTGATCTTTGCCTGACATCATTTCCTGTCTCGTACAGAATGCTCATCAGCTGAATCACAACTTTTCAGTAGTATTCATTTTGGCTACAGAATATGGTGGTCATTGTTTGATCGCCGTTTTAAGCAGATAATGAAATTCAAAGACTTTTATCGAATGCTTGAAACCTATAGAAATTCTCAAGACGAAAGGAATAAAGATTCAAGATGGCGGATCGTTTAGTGAATATCTTACCTCTCTTGTATTCTGCCGGCACTGTAAATGAAAGAAAAATTAAATTAAACCTTTGCTTGACATACGGGAAATTATAAATCAGATCGGCGGGAGAACTCTAACTTTCGATGGAGAAAAACGTGTGCGCATGCGTGCCTTTCAGCATGTTCAGTCCCAAGAATGAACCCTTCACAAAATGATCTTTGATGCAAGACTAACACGGAACTACAAAAGAAATACAAGAAATTTAATCGAGAAAAAGTGGGATTTCTTTTGTTCCTTGAAAGTGGCTCATTGAAGAGTGTAGTTTAGCGATAAATAAACCAAATGCTCGTTCTCTCCAAACGGTCAAAAAGCATTGCAATTTTACTTTTGTGAGACCAAAAATTTTGCATCAAGGAAAACAATAAGAAAGAATCCTCTGATTTCGAGAATTGCCTTTGGTATTTTGTATTTCCACTCAGTGTCAAGCATCAAGCTTGAAATGCATACGGACTTATTTAAGAGCATGCGCAGACGTTTTTTCGTTTTTTCCAATTGCACTTTAATCAAAATTGCTTTAAAATTAATAGTGCCATCGAAGAAATATGAGCAAAGAGGCCTCTTAACTAAATATCTATGTTAAGAACATATAAGTATAGTAAAATTCGTATCGAATGAGCAAAACTGAAGCGACTTTCATTACGTGGGCATCAAGGTAAATTCTCATAGAGACTAGATCGTTTTTTTTTTATAAGTAGGAAAGTACACGGCAAATTCGTAGCCGTACTGTAGCCGTATCGTATCTTACTCAAGTCATTACCACGCGTTATGATTGGTTGGATTACTGAAAGACAATGGGAAGCCATTTCAAAGTTACGGCATAGCGTACCGTGTACTTGTTGTAAGTCAGTATCGTATGTTTTCCCACTCGTACCAAGACAGCTCTATCGTCTTAATGGATAAATATGTGTAGTACTTACATTCATGTTCGGCAAGCATCTCCTCCAAGAACCCTGAAACCTGGCAGAGCAAGACAGTGCCGATGATGAGGAGAACGAAAAGACGTGCTGAGGCCATTTTCGACGGTTGTTTTCAAATCAGGGTTGCTCAATGGACTTGCTGGCTTGAGATATACCTTGAGTCACGTCCACTGCTCTTTTTATACTCTTTTCTACAGTACCATCTGTTAGCATCTTTATTCTCGTTGATGGTGTGGATTCCACCGCATTCTCATCGTGGTATACCTGTGGTATACTGGTCGAGTGACTTGTTGAAATCTTTGTGACCAATACTAAAATACCTCGTTAAAATACTACGTAAGACTGTTTTCTTGTTAAGTCTGCGACAGTACCTCATATTTATTATTTATTAAAAGTTTGTATCTCGTTGCTTCTGAACACGTCTACAAAAATCCCAGATATTGATTTTAAAACTATTGCAACATAATAGTCTGAACTATTCATTCATATTTGAATCATAAAAATGTCTAAAGCTTGCAGACCATATTTTATATCCTYCTCCAATCAAAAGTTTGCGTCGATTAAACCAAAGTTTTAAAAAATCCATTCATCATCTTCCAGCTTCTTTTTATGCATTATATATTTTATCAATTGATGGATTTAATGTGTGTATCAAATATGAAGGATCAAGGGGGAAAAAAGATTTCAAAACACGAAAATAAAATTTATGGGAAGCGAACAAAGAATCCAAAGATGCAGTCGAATTGTAAAGTTATCCTACATATATCTACTAATATTTTCACATTTCAAAATTTCATCAGTTTTGATCAGTGTCTGTTTTTAGATTTCCTAAATTTGCTGAGGCGTGATGTCAGTGATAAGCCAAACGCAATGAGGTTAGGGTGTCCTTGTAGTGTTTAGTGGTTGCGCTTTTTATGACGATGACAATACCATTAGTCTGAAAATGATTAATATTTAATAGTATTGTTTTCTCTAGAAAACATCAGAGCTCATTGTCGCATTTTTTACATGAGCTGATGAAGGCACCGCGGAGAAATAAAGCATTTTTAAAACGCTTTGGGAAACCACATAAACCATTTATCACACACGCAGACTGCGGGTCTAGAAAAGTTGTTGATAATGGACGGTCGCCATTTTAACTGTCAAATGTTTGCCCAAAAATGTATTTTAGCCCAGAAAATGTACGCGAATTCAAAGCGAATTTATTTTGTGGTGAATTTGGGTGCACAGTGTTTATTAGCAACCATTGAATAAAATGGTGGTATACGCAGTTTTATTAACCAAACTCATTGTACCACTGTTCTAATCAGTCGGGAAGTCTTGCCAGACACAATAGGCTTAAGGGCAAGGAATTTTATTCCCTTTGAAGACATAGACATAGCTATTAATATTGACATTCATATGAATTGACAGCTATTTTACCTGTGGTTTCTGATCATTCCTAAGGGAATAAAAGGGGTAGCTATGTTGGATGATGTTCACTATAGGTGTTTTGTAATCGTTCCTAAGGGAATAAAAGTGGCCGCTATGTTGGATGATGTTCACTGTAGGTGGTTTATAATTGTTCCTATTTTTAAGAGTCCTTTTTCGAATTCTGTAGTAAACATTTTAATATTTTATCGGCCCATAAAAATGAAAAATAATGTAAAAATAATGAACTATTGAAAACAAATTACTGATGTTGGAAATCCTTAAACTACACAAGTATTGCAGTCTCATTTATATTATTTTGAATATTTTTTCTCTAAATGTTTTTGCTGCAGTAGTTGGTAGACCCCGCAGTGGTAATGCAGTGGTCATAGTATAGTATAATATTCTGCCCCATCTATTGTTAATATTAAGGTATGCAAAGGCAGCTCTGGCCTGGAACAAATCCTGACCGGAGAGCAATAAATGGGACAGAATGTGGATCAACCCGGCTTGCTCGTGGGAGGGTGGGTGGGTCAAAAAACGTACACTTCTTCGTCGGTGGTTTAGTGAGAGTGATTAATTCATGGCATCTTTTCCCTTTTGTATGAGTATAAAGTCCGTGAGAATACATATTAACAATTCCTCTGGGACATAATTTACATATTCAAAGTGACTATGAATAGGATTCGCGCTTGGATAATATAGGCTAAATTGATTTGAATAGAGCGCAAACAATATATAAGTGAAACACTAATTACTAAATTGTTTAAAATGGTGCTAATTAAACAATAGGAAATAATAGAATTAGCATAAAATAGTGTAAGTTGGTATTACTAATATTTCACGGATATATTGTTTGCACTCTATCAAAGATTGTGCAATGCTCTTTCAAACGAGTAGAGTATTGCCTCACTAAAGGTTTCGGACAACACTGTCCATTTTCAGCGAGAAGGGATTAGCACGTGCCACCTACATCTGTTGGCCCGCATCTCCTGGCCCCACACGCATCTGGTGGCCCCTCGACCATAACTCGGGAACGAATCATGCTATGGTAACGAAACTTGGTACGATGAGTAAGACTTGTGTTGTCAGTCATCTGACCACGTGATATGGCATGACGTCATATATCACGTGAATTACGAACAAAACGTCGCCGATTTTCGCCAATAGTTATAACAATAAATGCTATGGTAACGAAACTTCTTACTTTGGGTGAGCCTTGTGATGTGAGTGATCTGACCACGTGATATGACGTGACGTCACATATCTCGTGGGTTAACAACCAAATATTTTCGCCGATTTTTGCCAGTAGTTTTGACTTTTGCATGTTATTATTTCATCAAGGGATTTTTATCATCACATGATTCAGTCAAACAAGCAATGATTTTCAAGAAGAAACAAAATCAAATTTGTTGTGGTAAAGAAATACAAGCTCTTTGGAATCAATCGGTCAATATATATAATATATGTCACATCAGTTTGTGTGGATTAGCATAAAACGACAAGCTTTCATTAAACATGTACTGTATTATTATACTTAATTGTAGATGTAAGGAACTATTGAAAGTTGGCCGAATTTACTTTGAAAATGCGAAGACAAACGGCAAGAGCGCCAATGTTGATGGCATTCCATTACGTCGGTGAGAAGAGATATGCCTGTCATCAGGGTAAAGACAAACATGCATATGACAAGAAAAAATATCAAGATCCTGCACCAAACGAACAGGTATATTCTTTTATTCAGTTGCACATTAATCATGACAATCAATTAATTTATATATGTATACACTCAATTGAAGAATCGTTGTCGGGTTCAGAAACATAGTACGATCATAAAACCTGAGACCGGAATGGCACATGGGAAATGACATAATTATATTATAACTTATTCATTTACGCCATCCATGCAGTCGGTTTAGAATACCAAACGCGTGTTAGAAACGGTGGATGATGCCACTGGTCGCCGGTCACCGCATGCATCTAATTAACGTACTTCCCATGTGCCATTTCGGTCTCAGCTTCTATGTTCTATGTTTCTGAACCGGACAACGCTTCTTCAATTGAGTGTACAATGTAATGTAACGTGGTGTTTTTATTCATTCATTGCCGGTATATATCCATCTTTCATCCATCCGTTCATGCAGTTAATCAGTCATTCAATGATTCATTCATTGATGAGCAGTGAATGAATAAATGAATGGAACACACCAAACAAAACAAAAAAATCTAATAGACAAGTAGATAAATAAAAATATATTAGTATTATGTGGAAAACGTGAAGTCCAGGTGTATAATATAACATAGTATTAGAGTGTTATACTTGCAGTCCAGGTGTATAATATGACATGGTATTAGTG